CAAGGAGTGGAAGACTAGCAGTCTCTGAAACAAAATAGAAAAGCAGAAACCTGAACTGAAGGACAGGATTTATCCAATTGAGAACCCTGCAGGATGGAAGCCCAGAGATTTCAAGTATTACGTCTATATCTGATGATGGACCTTGCATTGATATAGCCTCCCTAGCTTTTAGCATTGTAGGAATCTCAGATTTGGAGACACCCCTATCTATCAAAATCTGGGCTTCAACAGCCATGATGTTAAAGCCAGCAAACGTGAAGCAGGATGGGGAATCAGTTCTTGAGACAGAAGATCTTGACAGTCTGGCAGAGACTCTAGAGCATCCACCAGGAGTCTTGCCAGGTTGGTTTACCACATCGGCATGGGCCAGTCTGCAGCAATGGTGATCACCGGAATTACCTTCATCCTGCAAAGAAAATGAGGTATACGCTTCAGAGGTAGAAAGGCATAGATCAGGATGTCCTGATCCCACAGCGTGACCAGAACATCCCCTGCTGCTGCTAGAGGAACTCTGTACCTGGAGACAGACCTGTCCGGTTTGAAGCTGAATCTGGAGTGCACATCTGGGATCCTCCACCTGCAACACAGATCCTCGAACACCTCTACCCAGGGCTCAAACATTGCCAGCTGAATAAGTCTGATTGCCAGTTGTCCGTGTACATGGCAGACAAAGCTGGAATGTGAAGTAGTGCCCAGAGGATGCAATCTACCTCTATTGCCGTGGCAACCATCTGGTTCCTCCCTGATGGTTCATGTACCTCACTCCCGTGGCATTGTCCGACTGCATCTAGATCGAATGACCCTCCAGCAAGATGGCCAAACACTGCAGACAGCGAAATCACCCGAAGCTCCAGGATGTTGTTCGAGGGATGAGACTTCTCCGATGACCAAGTCCCCTGCACTGACAAGGTGCCCACGACTCCTCCCCAGCCTGGCAGGTGTCTTGAGGCTCTTGTAAATGAAGGAAGGACTTCCCAAATGCCACTTCCTCAGTTGCAATGAATAAGGTCTGTTGAGTGACTTTATTAGTTCATGATGACAGAACATGGTGTAGTTGAGGTCCAGAGTAAAACTGGGCAAATGGGACTGCCTTAAATGAGGCTACCATCAGGCCCAAACAATGGGTCAGTTCCAGTGCTGATTTCTGAAGGTTTAGGATCCATGCAACCCATTATAGCATCTAGACAGTTAAAGTCAAATTGTCTGACAGAGCTCCCACAACTGTTCCCTCCACAGAAGGTTGTCTAACTATCCTACATGGGGACAGCATGAGAGCACAACAGGGATAATATTGGGGTCAGCCACTTGTTGAAGGGCCAAGGTGGACATGATAGGCTGAAGGGCAGGGCCACAAACTGATGGTGAAGAATAGGTTGATGGGAACATGCAGGTACATGTCCTGGATGTTTACAAAAGCCAGAAAGTTTCCCTGGTAATGGGAAGCAATGACAGACCTGGTGAATTCCATGAGAATTTTTTGACCTAAAAAAAAGCATTCAGGAGCATTTCTTACCTGGAATATAGACATTCAGAGCTTTGCGATCAAAGATGGGCCAGATTCCCCCTTTGGGGTTGGGTACAGTGAACAGGTTGGAGTAGAATGAGACTTTGACCTGAGAAGGCTCTACGGAGACCTGCTAATCTGTGTGCTGCCACAGGTAGGTTGGATGTGAGAAACCACGGACGGGGCAGGAAGCAGGACTCCAGTTTGTAGCCCTGGGATACTTCCTCCTGCACCCAAGCAGGGTGTCAGCCCTGCCCCGTTCTCTTTTACTGGACCACTGCACACTTCCTCCTATCTCTATAACATATGGGTCAGCTGTTCTGTAGCCTGTAGAGGAGAACTGGGTAGGGATGACAACACTGATTGGGATTTTCAGTATTTTAAAAAGGCACCAAAAAGCCAGGAGCTCATTTCACATACACATTAACAAGGGTTTGTCCAAAATAACAAAAACGTTTTCAGAAACTATAGGATAATAGCAATTACTATTACAATTAAGCGTAGGTCTGATCATTCTACTTGCTTGTGTGTTAAGTAATGCAGTCATTTCTGTACAGAGACTATAAGGGAGAATAAAGTCTTTTTACTTGTCAATGTGATGTTTTAGTACCACAGTGTGGCCTTTTTGAAATAATCCAAAGAGAGCAAATAATATATGAACAATAAATGTTTTTTTTTAAAATAATCTTTATTTTTCATTATAAAGTCCTAAGAAAAAGTGTGGTTCTTTTTTGATATACCCACAAATTTTACACCAGCCACACTGATTAATGGTATTCTTCCAATTGAGAAGATGATTTACAAAAACAGGAAATGATTAAATATGTAACATCTGTTAAACCATCTCTATTTCTTTGTAACAAAAGAGATGTAAATGATGTAGTTTATTTAGTATTTATCAAAGCTGCTACCTATTTAAACCATATAATAAGCAGAGAAGTGTGGTCCTGGTCAAAACAACATTTAGAGTACAACATCAATATTAGGTCAATAGTATTTGCTGATTGAGTTTTCTTATACTTTTTATATACTAAGGATGCACAGATTCCGATTTTTCGTTATCATGTACTGATATTTTTTTTCAGTACTTGCCAACACCGAATACTGATACCGGAAGTCCAATTAAGGAAGCCGGGCGGCGTGTAATGGTTTGCCGCCCGGCATCTTGATTAGTTGTCTCCATGCTCCCTCGTACCAGGTGACAAGGAAGCATGGAGATAGCTTTCTGGCCAATCAGGAGGCCGGGAAGGGCAAGTTATTACCTCGGCCACCATCAGAATACCTGAACAGAGCCGGCAGTTCATTGGCTGCTGGCTCTGTTCATGTAAAGATTTTCCAACTGGCTCCTTCAGACAGCTGCACCCATTATGCAAATGTTGTCAGTTTCATCATGAAGTGGCCAAAATTCATATAATGTATGGCCACCTTTAGCAGCACTCTGTAAAATGTACCTTTTGCTATGAATTTTCTCCTGGAAAAAAAAGCAATGCTTGTCCTGGTATGTGAGGGTGCCAGGCACTCCTCTTCGCTATAGCTTTATATCTGCAGCTGAAATCATCTAAAGCACTACGTCCTGGTCTTGAGAGATTTAGTAATGTCAATACTGCACTGCTCACTGTCCCCTTTACTGGAGAATCACAGACAAAGCACTGCCTTTACCAAGATAGCCGCCTCCACATAGACACAATGCAGAACAAGGCATTGTAAGTCAGTAATGGGGAAAAGATCAGCTGCAGGGAAACCACAGGCAACACTGTTGACTAGTTCTTGCCCCTTCACAGGAAAGTCAAAGCCCAATCTGGAATGGCATAACACATTTATAAGCATTCTGAACATTCAAAAGATTGACTGGACCACAACATCTCTGGTGACTGCGCTGCTTAGTCTCACAACAACCATTCTGAAAAAATAGGATTTTTTTTTTGTACCCGCAATAAAATCCTTTTACAGTGACACAGCAGAGATCTTTTACCTTTTAACTGATGAGTTTTTACCGCCTACAGAATCGGAATATAGAGCTACTACACTATGCTCTTCTGTACTTGTGTTTTTTGGGTTTTACCACCACCTGCAAGAGTAGGACGCTAGGGACTGTGCTGCCTCAAACAGATGGAGTGCGTGGGCACCAACCAGGGCTGTCCCCGGGGCTGAGCTTTTTGTGGCTAGTGCCCTACTCCTGCAGGTGGCATTGGTTCAGAGATCAAGATCTCTGCTGTGTCCTGCAATGAAAGAAAGATAAATAGAGGTAAAAGCAGTCACAAGCGGAGGAGCCTCCATATTGAACATAATAGACTATGTGAAAGTTAAAGCAAAGGAAGTAATATTTGGTGGTTTATTCCTAAATATGCTACTGAACCGAACAGTGAATATTCCCTTCTGAGTTGCACAACTTTGACAAATACTCATAAGCATGTACCCTATATGTGCTTTGCAAGCATTTTAAGCCTTTGAACTTATACGCACAAGACACAAAATGAAAGGGGTATGTTTTAATTACAAAACATGTGCAAATGAGCTATTACATGTGAATTACACATAAAGGAACACATACAAGAAACCCTCTTCCAACATTTTGCATAACCGTTTGTGTTCACACACTGAACTAGATATAATATTCTGTTCACATCAATTAAAATGTGCATATGTTAAAGAGTTTGAAATCCTATATCCTTCACCTAAGGATGCAGCTACACAGCTCTGAAAGTTACAAAATGGTTTCATATCTGAATACATATAAATCAAATATGGCTCAGTATAAAGAGGTTCTCCATGAATGTGTATTTAACCTACCCAACTTAGGGCCGGCTCTTCAGTATTCTACAGCCCTTTTTAGAAGGATGCTGTTACTGTTTTTTGTATTTGTTTTATTCAATTTAGTAAACATATTGAAGGGAATTTATCAAAATTGGAGCAGACAAAATCTGGAGCAGATGTGCACAGCAACTGCTCCAGATTCTGTCAGCTCCAGTTTTGATAAATTCCCCTTGTTCATTAAAAATAAACTGATTCCAGATTTTAAAATCCTTGTGTTTATATGTTAAACATGGGGCCAACCACATTAGTTTCTTTTAGAGATATAAACACCACCTTCTACTACAGTGATACACCCTACTGTTCATTATTGCTTCAAATTCTACCTATCACCCAGGTACAATGATACACATGAAGGCAGTGTAAACAGTGTATCTGTCTCTTGTGTTTTAAAAGCCCTGCACCAGCTACAATGCTCATACAAGTGGAAGAGGCTAGTGTCGAGGAGTGCTCAAGGTGAAGCAGGGAGTACATGGAAGCCTTTAGTTACCCTGATTTGATTCTCTATGGGATCTAATACAATCATGGAAAATCTCTTTAGAATGCATTTTTTTTAATGTAAAAAACAGGAAAATCCACAATGAACATCAAATAGGCAATCTTTGCTTTACTTATAATGCTGACCTGATACAAGTGAAAACAAACATGTTATTACGATGCAGCATCTATTTTTTTTTTTCTTTTCTGAATAAAGTGGACAGATTCATTTATAAATAACACATTATCCACCTATGTGTCAGCTGGAGAATATGCTGGTAATAAAATATCTGTCCACCTATAGTGCAGTCATTAGGGTGCCAGGGCGGGTATAACTTAAAGCTTGTCCCTAAAAAAGAGAAGAAATGACCATTACAATGTGTACAGATGACAAATAAAGAATATTGCACATTTCTCTATAATTTCCTGATAAATTACTTGGCAATACATTTCCACACTGCACATAGAAGTCTTACCTTCATAGCTGCCCAGGGGTCTTGAGAAGCTAATCTAATAGACTGTGTGATAAAACAGGAATCTCGGGAGCCGTGGGCCTCTAATTTTCTTCCACCTACCTTCGACAGGTCCCTACTGAGCACTTGACTTTGGGATCACCTTTTCGATAGTACATGCTCTACCGTGCACAATCCCCCCAGCCACCTTCTCCTCTTCTGCCTCCTCTTTCCCTCCTCCTCCTTGGCCTTCTCCTACCTCCTTTTGATTCTTTTCTTTAAAGTGACATTAAAGTCAAATCTTCCTCTTCTTTCCTGTCCTTTTCAGCCTTCTCTCTCCAGCGTTGCAGCAGGTCTCCGATCCAGGGCTGACTTCTCTGTCCTAGCTGGCACTTCCTGTCCCACGGTTTCTGCATGCGGGTGCACGCATCCATATACATACCTTGCGTCTCTCCTCGTCTCCCGGCCGAAAATCCGAACTGCTCATGCGCCCGCCCCAAGATGCTTTGTGGCCGCCCGAGCAGTTTCAGATTTTCGGACGGGAGCGCGTGGCGAAGATGGGTAAGTATAAACCGCTTTTAAATCTTTAACCAGTTGACATCCGCGGTGTTAAACCCCCTTCCCATCCAGGCCATTTTTCAGTATTCAGCGCTGCGGTACTTTGACTGACATTTATTCCGTCATGCAGCGCTGTACTGAAATGAATTTTATACCCTTTTTTGGGGACAGATAGAGCTTTCTTTTGGTGGTATTTATTCACCACTGGGGTTTTTATTTTTTTAATATATTAAACAAAAAAAACAGAGAGTTTAGAAACCCTTTCATTCTTTCCTTCTCCTTCTTAACTTGATTTAATCTCTGGTTATACCCGGTCTTCCAAGATAGAATGGCATATGCATCTACACAATTGTAGATTGCAATTACCGATTTCCATCGATACCCTGTGTATTCCATATCTTACTGTTGAAGTTAATTCTGCTGTTTTGCTGATACTCGCTCCATGGCTCAGAGCGCCAACAATCATCCCACGTTCACAGGCTGTTAAATCGCGTTGTTTACCCATATCTTCAGAAAAAAATCACTTCTACGGTCGTGGTAAACAACCTGCTTCCCTATTTATAATGGTCTGGCCCTCTAGCAACTTCAGGGCCAAATTATAGCTAATTTGCCTACAAACGTCAGGTGGTCATAATAATCTGGCCACTCAGTGTATATGTGAATGACAAACTGCCACTTGTGGTGGATAACTTTGTTATACTTTTATATACCAATAAAAATGTATTGAACAAAAAAAAACAGGAATGTTATGGCATCCTTACCTTGTCTACCCTCCTAATGTCTAAAGCAGGCTCCAGTTGAAGCCAAAAAACATCTGGCTTATTTCCAAGCTGCGGGCAATTTCCTCAATGATACAGTGTTGCTGCCATAACAGATGCAGCTTACGATATCGTTCGTGGGAGAGCCGCAAGGGATTTCCTCGTCTGGGGGTGTGATCGTGAAAAAAATGGAAAATTAAAAAAAAAAACCATGTAAATATAATATTAATCAATATTACAGCAGCAACCGTGCAACTGACATCTGTCTTAAGGGCCCATTCACACCACATCCAGATTACCTCCAGACCAGACCGTTTCCGGACACAAAATGCATCCCATTGTATCCCTATGCTATTTCTGGCCTCTGTTCCCACCAGCGCAGTCCGTTCCAGGCCAGAAAAATACTGCTTGTCCTATTTTGTCTGGTCTGGAATGCACTGGAACGCATCAAAACGCATTGGAACACACTGGAACGCATCTGTAAGACCATTTTAAGGTAAAAAAATGAATTCCAATTGCGGCAAAATCGCTGTAAAAACTCTGCAAAAACTCAATGCACTATGGTCCAGACCTAGTCCGGAAAATGGTGTGAACCCAGCCTCAAGAAGAACTCTGGGCAAAAATGTTCTGAAGTCTTACAGTGGAGCTATCCCTGCACCGCAAGGTATTCAGTCTGAATGAAACACAAACTAATCTAGCAATCTGTGAGTAGATTGGTTTGCTTTTAATTCACACTGAATAAATTGTATTTCACTTAGAGTCGGCGTTCTAAGTTTAACAAACCCAATCCTTGGAGCCAGCTGGCTCTTAGATCGGTCCTTTCAGCCTCTCTCCCCCTCCACTCCTGCGCTCTACAGTCCCGTGAGTCATCACAGCAAGGAATGCGAGGGACATACCATCGCTGCAGCGGAGGAAGAGACAAGCTGGAGGGAGCACTGTAACAGCCAGCCAGCTGTGGGGATCAAGCGAGTAAAACTTTATTTTAGCACCTAGACCAAAACCAGCACAAGGTGGGAGCCCCCCTGCAAGGGTTAAGCATTGTTTTACCTGGAGTTCTTCTTTAAGCCAATGAGAGTACAGTATATCTTTCTTGCATTAATACAAGTTCATAAAGGAATCTCTTCTATTTTCTAAGACAGTGTATCTAAACGTAATTTTTTGCAGATTTCCTTCATTTACTGAAACTGTTGTACTGTCGCAGAAGGTTTTAATTGTGTACCAAAAGTTTAAATTGATGAGTGAGCTGTAGTGCTGGGAAGAGAGGGAGGTGTGTTTAACTGCTGTACAGACACCGCTGCTCCTTCCGTGCAGCCTGCTGCCTATTCCTTGGATTTGTGGCTGATGCTGGGGAGCAACATAAGGACAGACAACACACTTGGCAAATTACATTTTTTGAACACTATTTAAAGCTTCTGCCTATTTTCTGTCCTCAGAACTGGGCTGACAAACCATGGTATAGACTGCCACCAGCCTGCAAATTACAATAACAATCTTAGGCCACGTGCACGCAGTGCCTGAACATGCAGTTGGGGATTCCTGCGACAAGAACCTATGGATACTTGCCACAAGAATCCCAGGTGCGAATCCCCCAATAGAAAACCATCTATCCCTAACCGCAGTTAATTGTTCTATGTAGGACAATCACGCTGTCCATGATTGTCCTACATAGAATGATTAACGGCGGACCACGGACAGATGTGGCCACCGTCAGCCTGCCATTTGCTTGAATGGGCCCAGCGTCTATTTGGACACACCTGGAATTCCTGCTGCAAGAATCCGCAGGTTCTTACCAAAAGAACACCCAGCCGCAGCTTTGATCGCCACGTGCATGAGGCCTTATAGAATAATTTTCTTAAAACACATACATTACAAAATGGTTATTTTGACACATTTATAGCGTATGAAAAAAAAAAACATTGTATAATTGTAATTTTATGAAGTGGAAATAGCATGCAATATATAAAAGCACTTACTTTAAACCAGGGTCTGTTTCCCCATATTCATCCAGATATGGAGCAGGGTATATACAGCCCCTGGTTTTCCCCTCAATAAGAACCACTTTACATTCTCGTATCCTAAAAACATAAAAGGCAACACATGATTAATAAAGGATATTTTCCTTCAGCAGTTGTGTTATGTTGTACCGTCACACTAAGAGGCTGATTTAGTACGTGTAGAGCCGAGGAGCATAGGAATTTCCTATGCTCCTTGGCTTCATCTAGTGGCAGTAACTCGCTGCAAACATCGTTCGCACAGCTATACACTATGCAAATGCATTATAAAACACCCCTGTAAGTGTCAGAATGTACTGGGTCACATGATTGTGATGAAGCAGTCTGCTAAATATTTTTTACAGATGGATGATTCTAGTTGCTCCCTCACTGCATTTCAGGCAGCAAGAAAGTGACTTCCACTAGTGATAATGGTTAAAATGTATTTATACTCAAATGTTTTTTCTTTTAGTTTTGCATCGAATGAGAAAATGTTAGAACCCCTGCCAGGTTTTACTGCTATCTGGGGCTCTATTAGAGAGATTTCCTTCCCTTTCTGTTCTGGGAACAACCTTTTACCAGACAGAAAGTGAGGGAAAATCTGTAACAGGAATACTTCATTCTCCTACTTAACATTATTTTTTCCTTTTGCCTGTGTTGTTGTTTTCCTGCCCTGGTATTGATACACTTAAAAAGTTAAATACCAGTCATTCTGATTTTGGCATCAAAATTATGCCATGAAAGAATTGCCTGTCTGTCCTGGCCCAAGGAGATAGAACTCTATTTGTGTGTTCATTTCTGTTCTGGAAAAGCCTTCAGTAAATAAGTTACCTAAAGAACAGATTTATGTTTCTTTTTGCCCTAGCTGACCAAAACATACCTAGATACTAAGACCAGAGCAGCAGAAAGATGATGTTATAGTGAAATGACATACCAACTGACATCACAAATACTATTTGTAAGACTAAACCCGGTCAGCTACTCACTTGAGGAAAATACAGATTCCAGCTCCGCAATGTAGTGCATGTGTCGTACAAGCGCCCAGCTCCTCGCCATTTACCACCTCCTGACAGCAAGTGTTCTGAGAGCAGAGGACAGCCCCGCATAGGAGGCACATCACTGGGTGCTTGCGTTCAGCTTCCTGAGACTTTGGACACCTAAAATATCATAAACCAGCACAAAAGTTAAATGCGAGACATGGGTGGCCTATAACTCTACACTGGCAGGCTTTGCTGATATTTCTAGTTCTTCAACAACTGTAGTGACAGAATTTACACTGCTGGGTATAAATCCCTGACTGGAGTAAAGTAGCATTTTAGAAATAAACTTTGGTTCAGCTTCCTACATGAATCTTTTCCGAAGACATTGCAATTACCAGTTTTTCCCTGGACTACTTTATGAAATTAGAGCCTTAGAGAAGGATCAGTGGGGAGGAAATGATTAATGATGCAGTGATTTGGTATTTAAAAATACACTGTACTCCACTAAACATCCGTGTTTTTAGATCACCTGATGCAACCAGAATGATAATGTTGTGTGAAGCTGAACTTATTCCTCTCATTAGAAGTATAAACTTTGCAAGATATAAATTAATATATGCTATATCAAAAGATATATACAATGCTTGCACTTAATCTTCTCTCACTTTGACTTCAACCCTACATCTCAAGCAGGGCAGAGATTGTCAAAAAAGGGTAACAGACCACCCGGCAAGCTTTTTCCTGACTAATGACTTCAAATACCCACAGACATGAGATTGCTGTTATCCAAACCTGTCCACTTTGGAGACTTTCAACCTCAGCTGCCTGCCACAGTAGGTAAGAATCTTTGATTGGGCAGATAGAGGAAGGTATGATGCAAGCATCTGTGGCCGAGTCATTAAACATTATGGGTCACATTGGGTGACTGTTTATGTATAACCTATGAAGACTGAGTCAGCTGCAGAATGCTTCAGCACAAGTGTATCAGTGTCCACACAGTAGCAATCAGACAAGACCTTCTAACCTGTCCAATCCAAGCATTCCCTGAGAAGCTTCGGCTTAAGGTCTCTGTGGGCAGCTCATAAAATTTGGCTAAAAATGTCTTTATCTGGAGATTGTCATCTAAGGTCTGTGGGCACCTACAGTATACATGTGCTGCTTTTGTCACTATATCAACCTGATTAACTGGAGGCAGCATGCTATTTCTGGGTCCCAAATTGCAACTCTCAATTAGCATAATGTAAAAGGAGGTTTGTGGAAGCCTCTGCAGACTGTAGATCCGGGCCAGTGGCTGGTCACACAGGCATGAACAACTGCCCTCCCAGACCTATTTGCTGTCTAGCCCACCAAGTGGATGCATCGTGGTTGGTAAAGTATTTTCTAACCCCCTCTCATCTCACCTGAAATGGGAGGCCTGATTCAGCAGGGAGCTGTAGTCTTCCGGCAGTTCTGTTAAAGTGTTGCGATTCCTTGGATACCTATAAACACAGATTTAAAAAAAATATAAGTACAACTTTTCCTGCCCATGTAGCAGCTGCTCTCACCCCACAAGTATTGTATCAGAGGTAGTCTCACCTGAGTGCTGTTCTTTCACCAGTAAACACACTCAAAACAGCGGGATCGGAGAACCATCTGGAGGACAGACAGTGATGAGAGACAGGGACACAAGTGACAGCTGTAGGAGGTTAATTACCCTAACTAAATCTTCTTGGCTACATTTCATAATTCATGCTAAGCAGATTAGAATCACATATCACATTTGTGCTATTAATTCCTTACTGTACCAGTGAAAGATCACTGCAGTGCACACACTTTGGATTGGTGGAAGGTATTTTTTTTTTTTTAAATAATAATTTCATGTGAGATTATAGTTAACAAGTTTAAGAAAAGACACCTGTAATGCAGCCTCACTAATACATTATATAGAGAGTCAGAGCTAGATATTAGATTGCATGTCAAAATACCACAATAATGCACTTCAATAGGGCTATAAAGCTATACAATGGGTAGTGTCTAAGCAGAGTATGTAGGGAGCAATTCAGTACAACAGTGTGGGTTCAAATATAGCAGGACATTTACACAAGGACTGAATAAGCAAATCAGCAGGAGACTGCTGACATTGTACAGGTGAAACTCGAATAATTAGAATATCGTGCAAAGTTCATTTATTTCACTAATGCAACTTAAAAGGTGAAACTAATATATGAGATAGACTCATTACATGCAAAGCAAGATAATTCAAGCCGTGATTTGTCATAATTGTGATGATTATGGCTTACAGCTCATGAAAACCCCAAATCCACAATCTCAGAAAATCAGAATTTTTGGACCCCCTATGACATTTGTTTGGCAAACTTTTCTGATTTGATTACCTGAGGGTTTTTTTCAGTCTTTGTCCCATTGGGCAGGTTTGCCTTCACTTCCCGTCTTGTATACTTTAGTAAAATAAATTCTCTCTTATACAGTTACATCCAGTGTCCTCATAGGAAGATTTATCTGCTTCCAATAAAGGCGACAACTCAAAGTGTTGGACTTTCCCCTTTCAAGACCGATGACAAATGTCACCAAGACAAATGTGGAGGGTGAATCTCCCCGGCAGAGAGATAGCAATAAAAACTGAAGATCAAACCCTCTATCCGAAACTAAAATGTATCTAAAATAAATCTCTCTAAAAGGCAACCTCAGGAAATAGAAATATGGAAGTTGCCTTTTGTTTTTGCTTGGTTTCATAAGGTGCTGGCTAGTTATTCAGATCTGGCCTGGCACTTCCAAATGAGTTACATTTCTGGAACAAGCTTGTGTTTACTTTTGCATTTGCTTTGTGGTAAAATCAGCATGTCCTATCTTGCTGTGACTACGCTGCTTTCTTTCCACTATAAAAGTTGATGCCAATGCAAATAAAAGAAAGTCAATGTAAATTTAAAGGAACTAAAAAGCATCTTAGATTTAAGCCATTATTTCCTGAAATGATTCTGCCTTTGACTTACTTCTGAGTCTAAAACCTGCAATGTGGATCCATACTCTAAAGCAGTGGTTCTCAACTCGTGGGTCGTGACCCAAAAGTGGGTCGCGACACCCTCTGCAGTGGGTCGCGGCGTCATGTCTGCATAGACCAGCCCATCTGCATTAGAGAGAACTAGAGGGGGAATTTGTGGTTCAGCCTGTGGAACCTCATAATGTCAAACTGTCCCCTCTCTCCCGGCCTCTCCGATAAAGTGGTATGGCCCGGGGAGAGAGGGGACTATTTCCTCACTTTCGGACCTCTCACACCTGCCTTCATTTGTATAGACTGCTTCAGATTACTCCCTATAAAATACAAATACTATGCTGTATATTTAAGGAACAATGTATAATGAAATTGAGAGCAAGGAGTGTCTGGTGTTGAACGCATCTTCATTCATTTTATTTAGCTGGTAGTAACAAATTCCGCAGCACTTTACTGAGTATGTAGAGTCATTCATGTCATTGCCTGCTCCCAAAAGTGGTTACAATCAAATTCACAATTATACAGACACACACTTTTTAGGTAGAGGTGCTCCGAAATGGAATTTTCAGACCGAAACTGAAACTTATTTTTTTCTAACTTCTATAAAATCCTGTTATTTAATACTTTATTTTTATTTACTTATTGGTTTTTTTTTTTACTTTACTGTCGGGGGCATTGGGGAAATATCAGAGGTCTAAACAGACTCCTAATATTTTCCTTTTGAATTAGAAAAAGAGATTGAGTCCTAAATCTCTTTTTCTGCAGCCCCCGTATGAATGAACAGGAAGCCTCTATACTGAGTACTCCCAGCCATTCATAAATTGTGGATATAGTGGTACTATGTTCACAACCATGAATGAACAGGAAGTGATGTAGAGCACTTCCTGTTCATTCACTTTTGGGGACACAGTAAACATACTATGTCCTCAATTATTTACAAGCACTCAGTGATCAGCTAATTGCTGAGCACTTGTACTGCGCTCTTCATCCTGACTCGCTGTCAAGGGAGGCTGAGTGGGTGGTGCAGGGAGGAGAGCTCAGCCTCCTGTGACATTGCTGACAGCTGACTCCTCCCTCGCACTGCTGGTCTCCTCCACACACCACTCTCCATCCTGATCTGCTTGTGACAGCACTGACAGTGCTCTCCTCCATGCACTGCTTGGTCTCCTGACAGTTTCACTCCTCTCAGAGGGGACACAGAGCAGCGCCCAGCAGGGAGGAGAGAAACTAGGGGTGCACCGCATTTTTGGCCAAAAAATACTTTACTTTCTGCATTTTGCACAAAATACCATATGTTTCGACGGCCGAAATTTCGGTGCATCCCTAATTCTAAGTGTAGCTTGGCTAGTAACCAGTATGATTGAAATAGTGGAAAGAAACCAAAGTGCTATGCTAACGTGAGAAGAAAACACAAATTTCATTCAAATAGTAGATTTGGTTGGATTTGAACCACGGTACTCAGCACTGGGGAGTAGGGGTTTATCTTGTGGTGTCTGCTCTTAATGTATAATGTGAGTTGTGAAGTTTAGTTAGTTGCAGCAGGCCACGTACCTCTGCAGAAGTGGTTTCACAGTATCCCAGTGCTCTTCAAACAGTAGAAATAAATTGGTAGGTAAACCGAGGTAGCTGCACAAAGCCTCAAACTGATCTTCAGGGACCACTGCAAAAAAAATAAAATAGGATTTTTGTACTCACCATAATCTCCTTTTCTTGGCATCCACTCCGGGATACAGAAAGTCTTTAACCTTCAGGTTACACTGCTGCCTACAGGATGACTGGTCACCGGCAAACAAACAAAAAAAACCTGTAGGCCAGACCAGGATAACCCATCCCTACTTTTTTTTGTCCATTGAGGGGCACCAGAAGTATTTTACTTTGCCCAAAAAGCCGTCCAACTAAGGGGTGGCCAATACAACAAACAAATCCTAAGAGCCCCAAGAAAACAACAGGTAACTGGGGACTACCTGCAGCTCAAACATCAGCATGAAGGACCTCACGACTGAAGCTGAAGTCAGATAAGGCCGAAATGTCCACCTGGTAGAACTAAGGGAATGTGTGAACAGAAGACTAGGTGGCAGTCTTGCAAATCTGGGAAACAGTTGCTTAATGCCAAAAAGCCCAATAATCACTGACAGATCTAGTACAGGCCACGGAGCTAAATAGGACTCTACTGATGGAATAGACTCTAGGAGAAGAGGGCAAATTATTTCAGGATGCAGAAATCAGCACCCTCAGTAAGCATGATGCAAGCAGCCCCAGATCTGTTAGCAGAGTGTGAACTAGGGGGCACCCAGTACAACGGGGACTGTCCCCTCTGTGCCTAGAATCAGATATGTATCAACCTCGTGGTGGTTAAAGCAACATATGGTTCAGGGTAAGAGGTAAGGCGCCAGGTACTCACAAAACCCAGATAGCTGCTAGCAGGTAAGGGTTAGATTTCTGAAGGTGCTCAACGTTACTGTGGGCAGTGACTGGAAACTGGCTGGAAAAGAGCAATTTCAAGGCTCCCAGTAGTGAACAATGTAAATGAGGCAAGGTCCTGGTGCTCGGTCTGACTGGTCTTCTCACTAAGTGAGTCTTCAGAGACAGAGCAAGCGCTATGGCAATTTCAGCAGCTCTGGACCTGGAAAGCACTCCTCAGCTAACCTTTACCAGAATGGAGTCTGGAAAGAACCTAGTGCCTGAAGGTCACTTCCAAGCTATTGCCGTAACGTCTAGTGGTAGTCCACACACTGAAGAAAAAAATCAGAGTAAAAAACAAAAGCGCTAGCCAAAAAAAAAGGGTAGGCTTAAACACAGCTGAGCTGAAGAAAAGGTGTAGATTTTCCTAGGACACTAGCAAAATTTTTTGACATGCTGGTAATAATAGGATTTTGGTACTCACCGTAAAATCCTTTTCTCTCCGTTCATTGAAGGACACAGGGAACAGATCGGAGATCCTGTACTGTAGGTAATATCGCCACCTGCAGGAGAAGGACGCTAGGCACAAAACTAAAGACCAATCACAGCCTAGGGGCGGCCCCTGCCGGTGGCCAAAACCCCCCACCTGCTGACAAGTCTCCAGTTTAGTAACAAGCAGTAAAGGAGTACACACCCATATAGAGGGGCGGGCCCTGTGTCCTTCAATGAACGGAGAGAAAAGGATTTTACGGTGAGTACCAAAATCCTATTTTCTCTCCCGTTCATTGAAGGACACAGGGAACAGATCGGAGATCCTGTACTGTAGGGACGTCACAGAGCAGTACCAAAAAAGAGGGGTGGGCCAACAGAAACAACAAACCCAACTTAAAACAAAAAAATCCCCTCAAACGGCCGCCTGCAACACTTTGCGCCCCAAACCAGCATCCGCAGATGCCAAAACATCCACCTTATAAAACTTGGCAAAGGTGTGAACAGAAGACCAAGT